ATATATATATATATATATATATATATATATATATATATATATATATAGAGAGAGAGAGAGAGAGAGAGAGAGAGAGAGAGAGAGAGAGAGAGAAAGAGAGAGAGAGAGAGAGAGAGAGAGAGACTTCTTCCTTTAAATAGGGTCTGGTTTTTATGAAAATCTGTCTCTTCAATAACAGAATTCGGATAGCTTTGTTTTTATTACTATAATTGTGTTCAAAAATGTGCCTTATTTCATCCACTTACAATTTTGTTCTGGACATTTAAGCATCTAGAATTCAAGGCAGTATCAAGGCATTTGAGTAGTGACAGTTCCCTTTTTTATCTTTAATAAAATTGATTCCAAAATAATATTTTGGTCATTTGTTCTACCTGCTCAAATAAAGGGATATTTTTTTAAAGGGGCATGGCTAGCCATATAATCCTACTGCTTGTTCCCTTAGGTAGTCACTGAATGAAAGGTGGAGATTATCTCTAAATGTTATCTATTTTATTTTACTTATAATAATATATTGGAAAATTGTTTTAAAATGTTTATTTTGCATTTATTACCTCAAATCTGTTTAATATTTTTCTCTCCAGTACCTCATCCCATCCAATGTACAGGTTGAAGTACATTTTTAAAAAATTGCAGGTCGTCCTTAACTTATGATCAAAATTGAGCCCAAAATTTATGTTGTTAAACGAGATATTTGTTAAGTGGGTTTTGCTCCATTTTACAACCTTTCTTACAACAGTTGTTAAGTGAATCACTGCAATTTTTAAATTAATAACAAGATTGTTAAATGAACCAGGCTTCCCCTATGACTTTGCCTGTCAGAAGGTTGCAAAAAATGACCATAGGACACTGCAACCATCATAAATATGAAACAGTTGCCAAGCATTTGAATTTTGATTATGTTACCATGGGATGCTGCAATGGTCATGTGGAAAATGGTCATAAAGTCACTTTTTCAGTGTTGTTGTAACTTCAAACAACATTTTGTAAGTGAAGAACTACCTGTACTGAAATAATTTTAATAACATTTTAACAGGGATATAGGTAGACCTCGTTTAGTAACTGAGCTGTTTAATTCCATTATGGTCATGAGATGTTTCACTTAGCATCTCTGTCACCTAATTACGAAGATGAGTTCATAACTGTGCTCATCCCAATTGTGGGCGCTAAGCAAGGACTCCCTATATTCCAGTTTACTTCAGTACTTTTAGACAGTATATTTATTTTATATGCATAATTAGATTAATGGCTTCATGCTACTGTACCTGTAGTTTCTTTAATCTTGGGGACCCTGTGACATCCATCTTTTAAAGTCCCAAATAAAGGATCAGCAGAATTAGTCGCAGAATGCATAGCAGGCACAACCATTCTGTGACACACAGTTTCAGGCGGTTGATGCAGCTCCTTATATGATGTTCCATGGTTGGGATGCATGATAGCTCTGTCTTCTCCTGGAATATAACTGATGCTTTTTCCTGTCATATCAGGCATAATGTGCTTAACATCAGAAGTACAAAGAGGAGATTCAACTGGAGTTCCACACGTACTGCTGCCTGTACTACATCCCGCATCCACTGAAGAGCACTGCGAATTTTGCAGGGAAAAGGGACCTTCACTCTGCAAGGATGACATGCGTTTAGCTAAGTGATACTCACACAATCCAGTCATACTGTGTTCAGCTTCTGGAAGCTTTGAAAGAGGATCATCTGCAGATAAATTACTATCTTCAGAATCCTTTCGGTCTTTGGATAAAGGCAGAGTAGTTGTACCAGACACAAAATGTTCATCTAGCTCATGCCCTAAGACACTACTGTGGTCAATCTCAGGATGCGTTTCATCTTTACAGTTCATATCTGCTTTCCCAAGACTGGAAACTCTGGAAACTATCTTTCCATTCATTGTTTCCGGGTCTGTTTTCTCTACTGCCCGTTCATCTAAAACAGCATACCATCTTTGATCGTCCTTGCGAAAGGCAGTTCTCTCTGCATTGAAAGTGCCGGCATGTTGACCCTCCCTTGAGGACAGAGCTTTACCCTTTTGTTCATTGGTTTCTGGTTTTTTGGGTCCTTGTTGCTTTTTCATAAGACCGTTGCCAGCAAGAGCAGCTTTTCCTTCCCCATCAATCACCTTACTTTTACGTTTAGTAGTGCAAGAATATATTGCAGACCCCATGTGCAGCTTGCTAAAATATTCAGTAACAGATTTTGTTTCCATGGTTTCTGGTTCCATCTCCATGCTATCCGAGTGAAGAATCTGCTTTGAAGGCACAACTTTTGACTGGAGCTCTGGAGCTTGCTGACTAGCAGATGAATGGACAGATTTCATTAGCAGCCCTCCTACCTGATTCTTGGTAATGGAGAATTCAGCCTGTGATTCCGACAGAGGTTGGTAACTTTCATTACTGGGTAAAAACATTCGTGTGGAATTTTCAGTCAGTTTCTGTGCACTGGCCAATTCAGAATTTTCAGTCATTTCAGAAGAGTTAGTCTCATTGCCAGAATCTGATGATGATTCAGGACTATATGCTCTCAAGATGGCTACACCTGTATGCCACAAAACACAAGAGCCAATTAATGAAATCATATCAGGCATTTCAATATACTGATAAAGATAAAGGGTTTATAAGCTTAAAATGGTTCTGAAATATTGAAACACATATTGCATTGATTCCGGTAAGGCAACTTAATGTAATGGTAGTTCTATTACATAGTGTCTGTAGGTGATGGTCAAAAAGTAACAACACAATAACAAAATGTTTTCAAAAGAGCTAATGCTGAAAAGCCTAAATGGGGAAAAGGGATGAAATGATATGATTTCTTTCAATGAATAAAGGTAACAGTGGTGAAAGAACCTGAATTATCATTCATCTGGTGTTCCTCAGAAGCAGATAAGGCTTTCAGGGCTTGAAGCGTAGATTCCACAACATTTTCCAATCCTTTTTCACATTTCTCTTCAGGATTAGTAGGGACAGCATCAATAAGTGACACTGGAATATCACTACTCCCAACATTATTAGTTTCCTCCTTGTCTGCTCTGTACTGTGCTGTGTGACTCTGAGAATCTTCCTCATCAGAGCTATCCCTGAATCCTGGTGGAGGAGCAGCAATAGCCATATTTAGAGAATGCAACAGGAAGTCGTCTTCAGTATCATCACCTTCTGGAGGTGGGAGTGATGTCAAGTCTATGATATCATCACTAGAACCTGAAAGGCTGAGAAGAGCAGGCCTATCGATTTCTCCAACTATGATGTCTTCCTCACAGCTGATATCATCTTCCTCTTCAGCATCATCTGTGTTCTCTGCGTAGCAAATATCATGCAGCAGAGGCTCTTCTATTCCTTCCGCACCTTCAAATATTTTGCCATCATGTAAGCCTGCATAAACAGAATTAGCAGCAAAATGAAAACTTTCAGCATCTGGGGACAACTCCAAACTCTTAATGTCATTGGCATGACTTATATAAAGGGTGGTCTGTTTATCTAGCGCTTCTGGACTTTCATCCAATAATCTTTCATAGCCAAGGGTTTGAGGATTCACATCATCCAAACCATGACCCCCAAAAATGAAAGATACTTTTGCAGCTCTTGGAGATCCTTGAATTTTCTTGCTTGATTCCAATCCTCCAGAAAAGGACAGCATGGGTTGTGGGTTTGAATTTTCATTATCTTCTGCCTCTGCAAAGTCATTTTGTTTAGCCAGCTGTTGATCAAGTTCACTTGAATTATAAACATTCTCTATGTACAGATGTCTATATGCTTTGGGACATATGGCACTATCGGAGACCTCTCCAGCTTTTTGTTTATTATCAGCAAACATATGGGCTTCCTGCTCCGCTGCTGAGAATGTAGTCATTTTGGTTACACAGTTCCACTCAGATCCGTGATGATTAAATTTCCCTTTAGTTTCAATCCCTAAAAGAAGGGTACATAAGAGGTGAAAAAAGTGAGTTATCAAAATAGATTATGCAGTATTTTAATATTTCAGATTAAATTTGTAATTCCTAAACATTAACTCTTTGAATTTTATCCTGTTTATATGACCTTCGAATATACTTCTAAAACCTTATCCATTCTGAGCTGCTCTTGATGAGTTCTTTTTACCCACAGTGAATTTTATAAGGATTTACAATAAAAATAAAAAAGCAAAAAAGAATGTTGACTGCCTACTCTAAAAAAGTATATTTGGGCACAAGCAGATAATAACTCTAACAGGAATAAAAAAAATCAGGTTCAAGAATGTCACCCTTAACTTAGAAATCACATTTGAAAATCCAAATGCTTTACTATCAAAGTTCTCCACTGAAGTAGAAGCTTCTTGAAAAATAAAGAAGTATATTTTTTTGCTTACTGCATTGTTCACTGCACTGTAATATTAATTACCTGTTTCACGGCTCCCACAGTTTTTCTTGTTGGCCATGTTAAATATTGATCGCCTGGAATCAACTAGGAGTCTATAGTATCCAGCTGTTAAGCATGCAAGATTCATAGCATCTGATGATTCCATCAGCAATGTGATTGGCTATGCATTAAAAAGACATATTGTCAGAAAGCAACTAAAATTCAGTAGAGTTTGGAAATAAAATGAAGAATTATATGTTAATACAGGTATTTTAATTGTACTTACACTTATATAATGATCTTAAACATATTTCTCTTATGACATTCAACAGATTTCCATGAATTTGTCAGATACACATAGGGGAAATAACAGCTTTTTATAGTAATATATTTTCTAGCATATGCAATAAATTGCAGAATTCATAACAATGAAACATTGCTATTAAATATACAGTGGAACCTCAGGAGACAATTGTAATCTGTTCTGAGAATTCGGTCGTCACCCGATTTTGACATCCCCAGAAGCACATGCGCAGAAAAAAATAATGGTGCGGCATGGAAGGGGAAATCAGCACAGAACAGCAAATCGCTTTGCCTGTGTACCGCCACCTGAGCACCTGTTCACAACCAGAGGTAAAAACCTTTGGTCAACACCCAGACTGGTCGTGAATGGAAGCGTTCACGACCAGAGGTTCCACCTGTACTTTACAAAAAACTGTTTACAAACATACTAAGAATTGCAATAAAGTAATTGGAGGGATTCAATTATCCTTCCAATAATAATGTTTCATTATTATGTGAAAGAAGCCATTATGTCTGGTGTCATCACCTCTGAAGAATTATTTAGATCAGTTTGAAACTGGTTCTTGGTTATAGCAAAGCTGAATTGTGAGATCACACAAGTAAGGAGTGTATTTGCCCTAGTTTTCTACTTGGTAGGTTGTATCTTATGATCAAGACTTACACTTCCAATAACACAAAGCAGTGGCAATAGAAGCTGCAGAAATCATCTAGACAGAATACGTAAGTATTCTGAAATAGACAGCTGAAATGATAAGTCACTTAATTTTTGGGAAAAAACTCTGTGTATGAATAAAACTGTTAAAATCTCTTTTAACAGACCTGTATGGGACCAACATTGCTGTCTCCTTAACTGACCGGGGCATTCTGATAAAGATAGCATCTTTTTGAAAGTTGAATGAGAAAATTACAGAGTTGTCATCTCTATAACTTATCATTTAGCTGGCATAAGAATTCAGTCAGGTTCAATTTAAAAAAATCAAGATGGCAATTTTTGAAATCTTGTAAACCAAAAATAATTTTAAAAAAATCGGTTCAGTGCCATGAACACAGTAGTAAAAACATCAAATGAAAGACAAATTAGTCATTTCTGTTTTGCTTGAAATGAATCAGGCAGTATATAAAATTATAACAGCTGCTATTTAATGCCCTTAAATTTCATCAAAGCAATACAAGGGAAAATCAGTGCATGTTAAGAAAATGTTGTGAATAAATGTTAGCTTGATTCTATAAAGGGTAACTATGAATTTTAGTTCAAAATAAATAAAAGATTGTGACTGAATTTTCTAAGATATCATTATATTTCAACTCATTCTTCAAATATTTTCAAAATCTCCAAATACGTTCAAATCTCAACATTATTCCCATTTGGATTTTTTTTATGAATAAACTTTTGTTCTTTATTTCTTTAGAGTAGTATTAGAATACCAAATATGAAAATAAGAAGTAAAGAGAGCAAACATTTTGCTTAAAATACTGTGAATTTGTCACAGTAATTTTATTTTAAAATAAACCTTTAAAAAGCGTTTTGTTTTTTAATGCCCATCCACTATTGCAATGTAATAGAATCAATTCTAAATTCTTAATTAAATTAGAATTCTAAACCAAAACTGACTGAATTCTTTTAGCTAATATTCTTACAATAAACAGCTCTTTGTTGTTAATACCAATGAACAATCAACTTACTTTTACATCTAACACATGAAGCTCAACTCTGACAGTAATTTCATCTTCTGCAAACATTTCAATTCTGTTCACGTGGCTAAAATCTGCCAAGAGAGCTACGAGATTTGTTTTAGTGTTGATTACATGGCTGATGCCATACCTTGGTCCCACTAGTAAGGTAACCTCAGAACGCTTTTCTCCCTGCTACAACACAGGAAATAAAAAAGACAGAACTTTGTATAGTGCCATTATGCATATAGATCCAAAGTAGCCTTATCTCACTGAATGTATTTCATTTAATTCATATTATTAATAGGTTATAGATCAAAATGCTCCTTTCGGAAAATGTTTTTGAAGGCTTTCCTAAATTTATATACTTGGCCTTGTGAAAAACAATGCTAATATAAATTATATAACATTAGTAATTTTATGGAAAATAATATTAAAGACATTATACAACTTGGTTCAATATTATTTATAATGAATATAACAAGTCAGGAGAAACAAGCCCACCATTAATGTTGCCTTGAATACCCGTCCTCCATATAGTCGCAGGTCACTGAGAAACTTGAGATAGTGTACTTTGGCTTGCAGAGCAGAGAGCTGAAGGTAAGGGAGGGGATTAAAAAATTATTCCAATTATAAAACACAAGTAGATATTTTTGGGGCATTATGATCATTTTTAGATTTTGGAATTCCCTGGCATTTTTGACCAGAAGAAAAAATTCCCCTTTTGGGTCTGGTTGGTACTTATCAGTCCAAAATGCTTCAGCAGATCTTGCACCAAGTAGGCCAAGCCCTTAGAATCTTTGGGATTCTATGGTTGTGTTAATAACAAATATATTTGAACTGAACTCTTTCTCCTAATCATAAACCAGGGAAATGCAGATCACACCATCTTTGCAATGGTTCCTATTTTCTTCCTCCATGATCTATCCCTTCCCAAATCAAGAATTAGCCAAGCAATAGCAGGCATAAGACTGAAAGCATTCAGACATTAAAGCAAGGGAAGCTGTTGTAGACTCCAACACCATCTTAATTTATCAGCATAACTCCCGATCCTTATATAGCTTAAAGAGATTCTGATGAAATGAAGAAAACAGTAGCTATAGTCTCAAGCAAAATCTTTACAATGACACTGAAGATCCATACTCTAATAACATGAAAATGACCCACAAAGATTCAGTGAGAACTTTGCTTGACCATGCTGTTGATAAAATCAGGAAGCCTTAGGAAGAATTGATTTTCCTCTATCTAATCTCAATTTCTGACAAGACATTACTAGGTTTCTAGATTTGCATACTTTGCAAATAATTCAGAAGAATTAATTCAGGTTTGTTCTAGTGTGAGCATAGCACCTCTCTAATTTTCATTAAAGGGACCCCCACTTCTTCAGGTGTATGTGGGCTGTTTCAATGTGAACAACAGAAATATGCTATGCAGAAGGTACACAATGTTTTTCCAAATCATTTACAAGGTGCAAAACTAGTCTAGACTCAGAGAAAGAAAGCTAAATGCATCCTTGCATCATACATTGCTCTGAAATGAAGGGAATTCAGGAGAGATTACCTACATCTAGTAGTGCCGTTTAATATATGAAGCATGTTTTAGATATATCCAATATGACGTGAATCTCAAAAAACCAGAGCCTGCATCCTTTAATGCCAAAAGTTAATAATTAAATCAGAATAGTTCACTTGATGGTATTAAAAAACCAAGGGGATTGCATGATGAGAAAGATATATGGCACTGGAAGATTCCCTAAATCAGGGGTGTCAAACTGGATTTCTTTGAGGGCTGGATCAGCATTGTAGTTCTCCATGGGCCAATGGGGGGGAGCTGGGGGGAGATGAGATGGACACCTCCTGCAGCACCCTGCCAGCCAAAATGAGGTGGGGGCTACATGCAAGCCCCATGTGCCTCATTTTTGGCCTCCAGGCTTCCTGCAGCAGTCTCCTGGCCAAAAATGGGCAACGTGGAGACCCTACGAGGTCCATTTTCACCCTCCCTGGCCTCCAGCAGCACTCTGCTGGCCAAAAAGAGGCTGTGGGAAGGCCTTGCAAGGCCCCATGTGGCCTGTTTCTGGCCGGCAGAGTGTTGCAGGAGGCTGGGAGGCTGAAAATTGGCCTTGTAGGGTCTCCATGTTGCCCATTTTTGGCCAAGAGAGTGCTGCAGGAAGACATGAAGCCCAAAAACTAGGTGAGTGGGGCCTGCGTGCAGCCCCCTGCCGCATTTTGGCTGGCAGGGTGCTGCAGGAGGCATCCATCCTGTCTCCCCCTGCTCCCTGCCCCCCCCCATTGTGAGGTCCCCGCGTGGCCTGTTTTTGGCCAGTGGAATGCTGCAGGAGGCCGGGGAGGTCAAAAACGGGCTATGAGGGGAACCACATGCAGCCCCCTGCGGCCCATTTTAGCTGGCAGAGGCATTGCAGGCCGGTCCTTTGACATTTCCAGAACGGCCCCACAGGCCAGATTTAAGCACCCTGTGGGTCGGATGCAGCCCACGAGCCTTGAATTTGATACAGCTGCCCCATATAGATGATTTAAAACAGGAAAAGAATTTTCAAGCACTTTTGTTATGTAATGCAGAGCAAATTCAATCAAATCAAATGAATAGAAAAGTTATTTACTTGTGACTAACAAGTACAGTATTTTCTCAGTACTTTCAATATTCTCAGTACTTTCAATATTAAAAAAATTGCTAAATTATTTTTCCATTGTCTTTAAACATACAATAAGCACTACCCAGGCAATGTCTAAAAAATAAGTTGGTCATTTTTTGTGTCTGAAAGATTTCTTTTCAATTCTCCCCTTTGGATTTTGCTCTCTTTATTATGAAATTTCTGTTGAAATGCAAATATATTACCTTTTTACCTGGAGGAACTAGATTTTGATTTGCTTTGACAAGGTGTGAAAGTGCTTTCTTTATGTTCTTTTCTTTCATGCTCTGCAGTACAGCAGATGGAATAAAAGTTTCCAGTCCCCATTCTTTTCTGCAATTTAAAAGATATTTATAATTCACATTTCTATGAGAATTACCTGCAATTTGGGAAAACAGTTATATGGTCAAGCAAATATGGATTGTTTCACTGTCAAAATTGTTCTTTGTTTTTTTAAATTAAATATTCTTCTAAATTTGTATAGAATACACATATTATATTATAGAATACCCTGTAATCTAAGAATACACTCTTATAAGAGTTGTGGTGGCACAAACTGAATCTTAAAAAACTTGAAATAAACTGCAAAAAGCTAAATAAGACTTTGATCTAAAAATGTTGCAAATGCATTGAGGGTCCAGTTAAATTTAGAATATTTAATTTTACTCTAATATTTTGGAATTAACTATAAAAATAGCTTCTCGTGGGAACCAGATTTATTTTGCCTATCTGGTTCATAATAAGGAACTTTATAATTTTAGACTTTGGACACAAGAGGAGATTAAAAATTCTCAACAGAAGGGGGAAAAACAAGCCTGTTTTTGTGCTGATTAAATGTGACTTAAAACTGACACAAAACATAACATTGGAAATATTAAAGCAGATCCTTGAAGATCTTTGAAGACCATTAGAAGTAAAAGAAAGGAATATAAAGGTGGTTTATTTGATCAAGATTCAAATAAGAGATTTATTTCAAAAAGTTCTGGCAAACCTGTATGACACCAAGATAGAAATGTTGATATTTTATAGATATGTTGATAGATAAGGGATGGGATATGGAATGTAAAGATATCTGCTGATAACCTTATGGGGATGAAGACTTATTACATTTGCCCACACATGTTGTAATAAGGGTTGGAAGTAATTTTTCTAATACATTTTTTTTTCTTTATCATATCCTTTTTCCTGCCCTTTTTATTCTTTTTTGCCTTTTTTTCTTTTTTTAAAGTTTCCATTTTTAGTACTATAATTAAAATCCTTAACAAAAATGATACACAAATAAAGCAATACTGTTTCAAGAGTCTATCAACAAATAAGAAATTATGTTAGTGAGGAAGTTTCAATTGTATAACTTAAGTTGATTTGACAATCATCTCCAAGTACAAAATATGAGTTAAAGTTTACTCAAATTCTTGTATTAGCATAAATATTCTTTAGAGTTTTTTCTTCTTCAAATAAAACCATTAAATTTTACAGTGGAATTCATTTCACTACAAATTTCATATAACTCTAATACTCACATGTTATGAAACTTGTATTCTATACTTACTCGATGTACTTCAGAGAGATTTTTTGAGTGTGTTTTGTGGTCACTGTTGCAATATACATTTGTAATGCTGCCAATCTCAGTGCAATATCGTATTTTAGCTCAGGCCCAAACCTCTCCTGAACCACATCATTACAGCTCTGTTAAAAAACCAGCAGAGGGAGTATCAAACTTAAGCATCTTTTGAAAATACTGCATTATGACTATCTCTTCTCCAAAAGGCAAGCTCATAATGAATGGGAACTAACACTGCCAGACAAATTATCCATAAATAACTAGGGATAAAAAGGACAAATGTGGTATATTAAGTTGATTAATTTGGAGTTACCAGAATAACTTTTATTTTAGTGTTTTCAGTGCTAAGAGCAACATATTCCAAACCACACCCTTTCAGATTCACTGGAACTCTAAACTTCAGAAAATATAGCAGATTAAAACAACAACAACAAAATCTAACTCTTCTGTATTTCAAAATCATCAACAGGGATGCCAAAATCCTTTGTGTTATTTTTATTGATATTCCCATTGTAATCAAAATACTATATTAAAAATAATCTTAATTGCAAGGAAGCTTCATAAAAAGAACCATACAAGTAACTTTATTGACATTTCATCATGCAATTTTCAACACTATAACATACCTGTACATAGAGATATTCAAATGCAACCACATCCCGTCGTAAAAGATCAATAGGATCCTTTGGAACAAAACTGATTCTGAACAGGCATCTCATTTTATGGGAGCTTGGTCTTTGGGTCACCTAGAAAACAAAATACTTTCATTACAATTCAGAGGCCATGACACTGTATTCCTTCTAAAATAATTCAGGAACCATTAGATGACTGAAAGGAAATTTAAATGAGGACATTGACCCCCAAATCATCCCAAATAAACCACGAATTTTCTGTTTTTCTTCATATCACTTTATATTCAGTAGCCAAGGCAATGTTAATCAGAGTGTACTTAAAAATGCTTAGACAATTCTAAGAAAAACGGATCTCAACATCAGTGACAGGTATTGTTTACAGTATCAACCAAGGATGAAAACTTCCTAGAATCTGTATGGGTCAATATAAAAGGAAAAAGAATGGCATTACTATAGGCATATATTACAGACCATGCAACAATGCAGAAGAAATAGATGAACTTTTTGCTAAACAATTAACAAATGTCTATAGGAAGTATTCCACAGTAGTAATGAGAGACTTTAACTACCCTAATATCAATGGAGAAAGAAAGCTGCATCAAATAGGAAATTGAACAGATTCCTAACCAACTTAGCTGACAACTTTGTCATCCAAAAGGTAGAAGAGGGAATAGAAGAAAAGTTATACCAGACCTAATTCTTACTAATAGAGAAGAAGTGATAGAGGGAGTTGAAGTCACCACAAACTTGGGTGAGGAGTGATATGTCATACTGGAATTCAATATAAAGCAAACACAAGCAATAGAACATAATCCAACCAGTGTCTTAAAGTTTAAAAGAGCTGATTTCAACAAACTCAGAGAGAGCCTAAGAAAAATTCCATGGATCCTAAAGAGGAAAACAACACAAAAAGCATGGGAAATACTGAAAAATTTGATCATAAAAGTCCAGTCCAGCACAATACCACTGAAAATTAAAAACAAGAAATCTAAGAAGAAACCAGCATGGTTGCACAACGATCTCTCTGATAAACTGAAAGACAAAAAGGATAATTTAAAAAATGGAAAAGCACATAACTAAGGCAGAGTATCTGCAGATAGCCCGAATATGAAGTCAGGAAAGACTCAGAATGAATAAAGACTTTTAAGACCAGACTAGGGACAGATCATCATGAAGATTAGAATTCTAGGAATGACCTCCAATCCTCATGGGACTCTGCTATCCATCAGACATCTTGCATTGCTGCAACACCAGCAGCAGGTTGAGGCATAATTTGCAGAATGTCACAATACAAAAGAAAAACCAAGCAAGGGTCCTACTAGTAAGTGAGCTTCTAAGAATCTCATAATGCTGCATCTAGAATATTTCATATTTCTTAATGATAAATAAATGAAATCACTCAGAACTTTTGTCTGCAGCTTCAATTACCAAAATAGATGGATTATAGTTTTCCGAATAAGACATCACATTTTGTTTAAAAAGATTCCGGATAATTAGAGATGTACACGAAATGGGGAAAAACTGCTTTGAACTTGGAAGAGGTTACTCCAGATGTTCTGCCAGATTGGGTCAGCCACAGGTTAACAGAAACAAGGCCCATATTGTTTTGATTGTCCTGAGTTTTGGATAAAAGAAAACCTGGATAGTGTGAGTAAGGTAAAGATTTCTTCTCTCTACCCTCTCCTCCTCTTCCTATAGCCAATATGTCACCCATATTTAAACTTCCCAACATCTGAATTTCATCCCTATCTTAATCACCAAACTGACTTTACTGCTATCATCCTTGTCTCAGCAGAGCACTCACTTGCCCGCATGTGATTGTGTTGTCCAATATCCCTCCCCTATGTTCTCTTCATTTCTTCTTCTAATGTCTCAAAGTACTTCTGACAGGAATAACTGTTTCAGTGGCTGTTTCACTGACTGCTTAAAGCAGAATAGTCCAATTTAAAGATTAAAAAAGAAAGAAATACATATTTTTCTTTGGACATGGACTGTCCAAAATAATTATTCCATACATTTGGTTTATACATGAAATATTTTTACTTTTCTATGGGGAACCCTTTTAGAACTGCTGGCAATAAAATGACGTGAATAGAGGGAAACTCACAGATTGCTTTAACTCTGAAACTTCTATGGTGTGTATGTGGGCTGTGTGTGAGCATGAAAAACAATAACCAATAATGAATAGGTACAAATGGCTATTCAAAAAATTTAGTTGGCAACTTCTCAACCTTCTCATAAAAGTCATCATGAAAGTATGGGAGCTAAAACCACGATAAGCCTGGAATGTTTGGGAAAAGGTATTTTAAATGATGAAATAATCTAATAACAATATACAGTACATGGAAAAGGATTTAAAAATACTGCAAATAATAACAAAAATGGAGTGGCTCCATTACATTTTGCAATTGTATGTATCAATGATACAGGAAACTTTGTGTGGAAGGAGAATGGACCAAATATCAACATAATCTAGAAACTGATGTTTTACAATCAGTGAGGAAATTGAAAGTGAAAAGATTGGATATTTCAGCAATGATGAAATATGAGGATATTTCATTCAGTTCTAAAGTACTTACAAGAAGAAATATAAAAGTTTTAGAATAACTAACACATTCAACTATTATTGAATATTATTGAAAAAATTGTAGGGAAATCTCAAACATGCAATGCATGCAAAGAAACTTAAGAATTATTCTGAGCTAGAAAAATTCTGAGGAAAGAGAAGAGGATGGCCAGCAGCGAGGTGGAATGGCTCAGTTATACTGGTGGAAGGTAGACCACTGGAAGACTTTCAAGACCAGACTAGGGACAGATTGTCATGAAGAAAACCTACCTATGTAGTTGCTGGAAGCTGAGATTAATGGTACATAATCAAACAGAAGAATTCTGCAAAGAAAAGTAGGGGCACATGCAAAAGCAAGAACAGGAAACCTTTTGAATACCTACCAGAAACATGTGGAATCTACTTCTGACAAAGGAGGTAATAAAAATACTGACTTGAAGGGTGTCCAAATTTCTACTTATGCCATATTCACATTTTGCCTTACTTTCAGTTTATAAATAACTACACAGAAATACACTGTGTTCACAATTATTAGGCAAGTGAGTATTTTGACTATGTCATTTTAATGCATATTTTCCTCTAAGCTGTATCAACTTGAATGCTTAGTGGATATCAGGTGATGTGCGTTTGTGTAATGAAGGAGGGTTAGGGTTAGGGTAAAAAGTCTTCCAGAGGGATGCAGCACTCTTGAAATTGGTGAGATATTGGGGAATGATCACAAAACCATCAAACGTTTTGTTGCAAATAGTCAACAGGGTCGCAAGAAACATGTTGAGAAAAAAAGATGCACATTAACTGCCAAAGATCTGAGAAGAATCAAATGTGAAGCTATCAGGAACCCATTATCCTCCAGTGCTGTGACATTTCAGAACTGAAATGGAGTGCCCAGAAGTATAAAGCTCAGAGACATGGCCAAGGTAAGGAAGGCTGAAACCTGACCACTACTGAACAAGACTCATAAGTTGAAATGGCAAGACTGGGTCAAGAAATATCTGAAGACAAATTTTTCAAAGGTTTTATGGATTGATGAGGTGAAAGTGACTCTTGATAGACTAGATGGATGGGCCATGGCTGGATCAGTAACGGGCACAGAGCTTCACTTCAACTCAGATGCCAGCAAAGTTGAAGTGGCGTATGGTATGGGGCTGGTATTATTAAAGATGAATTAGTTGGACCTTTTGGGGTTGAAGATGGACTCAAAATCAACTCCCATACCTACTGCCAGTTTTTAGAAGACACTTTCTTCAAACAGTGGTACAGGAAAAAGTCTTCACATTTCAAGAAGACCATGATTTTTATGCAGGACAATGCTACATTGCATTCATTGAAATACTCCACTAACATGGCTAGCCAATAAAGGCCTTAAAGATGAAAGAAAAATGACATGGCTCCTTCCTCACTGACCCAAACCTTATTAAAAATTTGTGGGTCTTCTTAAATGGGAGATTTACAATGAAGGAGAACAGTACACCTCCCTGAACAGTGTCTGGGAGGCTGTGGTTACTGCTGCACAAAAAGCTGATTGTCAACAAATCAAGAAATGGACACTCCATGAATGGAAGACGGTTATTGAAAAGAAGGGTGGCTATATTGATTTTTTGTTTTTAAATGTCAGAAATATTTATTTGTACATTTTGAGTTGTTTGTTTATTATTCTCACTTTAACAGATGCAAAATAAATGAGTGAGATGGGCAAATTTTTATTTTTCATTTAGTTGCATAATAATTCTGCACATTAATAGTTGCCCAAATATTGTGCACACGTAGATTTTCTCCTAAGAAAGCCAAAACCTCATTTTTATTTTCTTAAATATTCAGGTTTGAGGTTTATTAACATTTTGAATTGACCGAGAACACTGTAGTTGTTCAATAATAAAATTAATTGTCCAAAATACAACTTGCCTAATAATTGTGCACACAGTCTAGTAAATATGCATTCAAATTTGAGGAAAAGTATTAACTTTAATTTTCTACATATAGATCACAGCTTCTCTTCCATTAGGGAATTAAGTGAAACACATAATATCAATAGGGGTATCTCACCTTTGCATATAACTGACTCTGTACAAAGTTTATATTTCTACAAAATCATAAAGTATACTACTTATTTTAAAAGATACTTGATTCCAGTTTTGATAGAAATATGTTTATTTTCTGACTATGTTTTTGTTTATACAATATAAATGCCAAATTCGAACATTTGAGTTCTGCTAGAAACAGATTCAGCTTCTATTTTATTTTACTGGGACTTCTATGTTGCTCCAATCCAATAGGACTCTTAGTGGCTTACTTTCTCTTCTAATTGAAATACCTCAACATTATAAAACTAAGCAATTAAGCAAAATAATAACAAGGAAAAAATACTAAAGAAAAATCTAAAGATCACTGAGAACAGAATATCCAAACACGCACCAAGGAACGGGTTCTAACTTATTCTAGATCCCCTGTTAGGGCTTTCTTTAAAAGCTGAAATGTAAATGAATGGGAGGTAGACTTGATGTTTATGGAAAATAATCCATGAATAATCCATACAACTTGGTTACAATACAGCTGAAACCTTGAAAGACAATCAAATGCATCACCACTCAAAAGAAACTTCTAATATGTTTATTAAGGAACAAATTAGATCCATTATTTATTTATTTATTTATTTATTTTATTTGATTTGCCAATTGTTTACAAGATAATAAGTATAAATGTATACATAGTTGTGAATACATGAAATGGGTACATATAAGAAAAATAAAAGAATAAGAGAAACAATAGGACAGGGACGGTAGGCACGTTGGTGCGCTTATGCACGCCCCCTACAGGCCTCTTAGGAAAGGGGTGAGGTCAATAGTAGACAGTCTAAGGTTAAAGTTTTTGGGGTTTGGGGAAGAGACTACAGAGTCGGGTAGAGTATTCCAGACATTGACCACTCTATTGCTGAAGTCGTATTTCCTGCAATCAAGTTTGGTGCGGTTTACTTTGAGTTTGTATCTATTGTGTGCTCTTGTGTTGTTATGGTTGAAGCTGAAGTATTCATTGACAGGTAGGACATTGCAATGTATGATTTTATATACCATGCTTAAGTCAGACCGAAGACGGCGTAATTCAAGGTTTTCTAGTTCTAGAATTTCAAGTCTGGTGGCATAAGGTATTCTACAACGAGTAGAGGAGTGGAGAACTCTTCTTGTGAAATATTTCTGGACTTTCTCAATTGTGCTAATATCAGATACGTAATGTGGGTTCCAGACTGATGAACTGTATTCGAGTATTGGTCTAGCAAATTATATCCACTCATTAGAAGAATCCCATATACGCTTTATGCCAAGGTTGAAAACTGGTAACCAGAATGACCACCATGTCCAATGCAATTTGTAGAACCTTCAACAAATACTGCTGTACAGGTTTTTTTTTCTGCTCAGACTATTTCTACTTATAGGAATATCCATCATGATATTCCTGCTTAATATAAATTCTGCCTCTTGTAAGATATTTAAATGGAAGGGTTCTAGAAATAATATCAATAACAATACTGCTTTCTAAAAATTATTTCAAAGGTCATTTTTTTAACCAACTACAGCTTAAAAATCCATATTACACCTATAATTGATTTATTAAACAAACCTGAGTTAGTGCCTCTTGTTCATGGAGCAAGAGAAGTTTAGTTCCAGACCCATCTGTTTTCTGTTCCAGCATCAGAGAAAAATGTTCAATACACTTGATTGAGAGTTTTTCTTGAAGGGTTAAGATGACATCCTTTATGATACAAGATTAAAATGAAAAAGGAGAAATGAGATAAAAACAAAGACCTAGAATTCATAGTTTTGTAAATTCTCTGTTGAGTGCGAGCAACTGGTATGTATGAGCTGTTAATTTTCCATAAGAGAACAATATGTTTATTCACATGATGTATCATGACTTTTTCCCCCTTTGCTAAAACAAGTAGTGGTGGGTTTGGCCAGCATGTGATGCATCCGGCCCATGGGCCATGAGTTTGACACCCTGATATAGAAGCTTCCGTTGAATTTCATATGACATTTTTTCCCTTCCTTTTAGTCATGTCAGATTCTCTGAGACTGCTTGGACAAGTCCCAACTGTTTTCTTGGCAAGGTGTTTCAGAAGTGGTTTGCTGTGGCTGAGAGGAAGTGAGTAGCCCAAGGTCATTCATCTGGTTTTGTACCCAAGGCAGGAAAGAGCTCATGACCTTAATCACTATACCAAACTAGGCCTCAGTATGTCTTGTTTTTTTTAAAAAAATACAGGACAGCAGCCTTAGGTTTCAACAACGAGTGGAACAGAAATGACACTGGAGTTCTGAGCAAATATGCATCAGATTTACTTTATGTTTCATCAAAAACACTGGGACATTCCATCTAACATTTTCTATAGTTTGGACCAAACCTTGTGCATAGCTCAGAAACACCACCCATTGAGTTCAAGCTTTTATATCTTGTAGTAAAATTCTATGTATACTATCTGCATTAATAGGTAAGTTTCATTTAATTTCATTGGTTATTTCCAGGTAGGTTACTGGAAATGACGTTGCTCACAATGACGATTAAGTTCATCAGGGCTGACATTTATTTGTGTTTTTTTTCAAACTTTCAAATAAGTGTGTTTCTTGTTTAGCTTCTCCAGTGTTTGCAGATTGACAGTTGCACTTCCCATACAGGTATTCCTTGCTTAACAACCATTTGTTTACTGTTTGAAATTACAACAGTACTGAAAAAATTAACTTACAAATACTTACAACCATTGCATTGCACCCAAGGTCATATGATTTGAACTTTTCCTGCTGTCTTCAGAGAAGCACAGTCATGTGATATCTTGTTTAATGACCACAGTAATTCACTTAACAACTGTGGCAAAAATAGTTTTAGAACTGGGTGCATTCATGTGATGCTTTGGTAATGCCTGCATCACTTAACAACAAACTTTCCAGTCCCCACTGTAGTTGTGAACCAAGGACTACCTGTACACTCAAAATAAAAGAGGTCATTCTCAAATACATGGAAATACAACTATTCTGTTTTTGGCTCCAGGGTTTTCATATTACCAAAACCGATAGGGAGTAAAGACAAAGAAAAGTACCTATACTCTGAAAAGTAGCAACGCTTTACTAACTTTACTGCAATTGTATTGGACTTAGCAGATTACCTAAACTGTGCTTTGGCATGTTATACCACGTTGATAAAATAAAGATTTTGTAAAGTAGAAGCCAAACTACAGTATGTATTTTATATTGTAATGCTCAGTAGCAGTCAAGCATAGGTATTGAAAACTCATAATCTTAGCAGTGCTGGATCTTAATTGGGAATTGAACTTTTTTTCTGAATCAAATAATATTTGAAAAGTGGATGCTTTTATATTGGGAATAGATGAATGAAAGGCCTAATGGGGAATTTTGAAAAGTAGCTCAGAATCAGGCAATAGCAACCTCCTTCTATTATGGATAGACGCTATCACCTGCATCTGAGTCAAACCAAACTTCAAGGTGGATATCTTTCATTGCAACTGTCCAGACAGGGCTCCCTCCCTTCCCTTGTGCTTTGACGTGATATTGTCAAAGTGAAAGTTTTATGGAATGTGTGAAAAACATTGAACTGTATTATAAACAATGACAATTTTCAAACAGCAGTAAGGATTGCACCATCTTCTCTAGAAATTTCATGTAGTAGATAATGTGGGGAAATTGCAGATTGGATATATATTTGTGTGGTCTTTTCATATTACTAAATTTGTATTTCCATTTCATGGTGTTATTTATATGATGGGAGATAAGTGAAATAATCAATGGACAAGGATTAAAACCCCCACAAAATGTTATAGATATAATATTTTCTTATTATAAAATATTAGAGAGATTTCATATAATTGTATGTTTAAAAAGTATTCATTTTTCCGAGAAAAAGAGCTTACCTTTATAGAAGTACTGCAATCAAAGCGAAAAGATTTGGTTTGCCCATTTTCAAGATATACTTTCAGAACATTTGGCATAAAAAGAAGTGAATTATCTTTAACTGTTTCCTATTCAAAGAATAATAATTGTGATGAGAATTATCATATTGTCTTAAAAATTAATCAAAATTTTATAGAAAATCATAATATGACTCAACAAAAGCCTTATGTACACAGAACCTGAAATCTATTGAATCTCACAAAAGAAAATAATTAATTCTGCATTAAAGTTAATATTGAATGATTATTTTCACATAAAGGTTTGACTTACAAACTATTCTTCAAGATGATAAAATTCTAATACCCTGATTACACTTTAGGTAATTCATGAGCTTGAACCTTGGATGGAATTTGTTTTCGTAAAGCCTGGATTTATTTCAGAAACAGTATCCCTCATGCCATGGCATGCTATTGTATAAGAAACAGTTTTTAAAATAGAAATCATATATCATGGAATTAAAAAAACAGAACGAAAAATCCCAAATATTTGCAATCGAGATGCTGTTCTATCCTTCTGAATATTCCAAGTTCACCAGTGACAATAACTCCAGGGGGTCCAGTCATTGCAATGATCCAGCATGCCAACTCACTCTCTTTTAAATTGCAAAAAACAGTTCAGTGAGAAACAAGGGAAGAAGAATCATTAATGTATTTGTATTTTTCACAGGAGTGAGCAAGGGCAAAATCGAGGAGCTGAAATCCAAAGATATCAGAATTGAAATGGCATTCTTTCAAGCGAAGCATGTATAAATTTCTGTACCAGTCAATGATTCTTATGAATTATTTATAGTGAGCTGTTGTTTACTTTGCCAAGAACTGAACACTTCATTGTGCCCTTGGTTTCATAACGCATTTCTTTAAATTATTAAAATGTCTCAGAAAAAAACCACCTTTCTGCGGTACTTTCTGAAATATTTTATTACTCCAGAAAATCTACTCTGAAGATGTTGCATGCCTATAGCACTCAACAGTCCCTCAACAATTTTTGAAATAATAAAAGATAATCTCTTAGGGATAGTGATTTTCACCACTATGTTGATTACATGATGGAGTGTTCTCAGAAGATGATTCAATTTTTAATTTGTTTCTTTGAAAATGCAATGACCACACGTGTTGTAAAATAATGTATTTAAAAAATGATACCTCATACAAACAATGATCATTGTGATTAATGCTCCAGTATACTGTATAACATGTTCACATTAAATGTGTGTGATTTAACATGAAAGCAAACAGTCATTTAACATAAAGTCATATAACATAAAGGTAGTGGTGATTGTATCTTGTCTCTGATTTCACACATTTGAATGTCCTTGTGTCTTTTGTGTTTGTGCAGTGTGACTTTCACATCAGTAATAAATATATTACTCATGCATGCATGAGACAACACACTTACTTAATTTTTTTGCAAAATGAATGAATGAATCCCATTTTTCCTAGTTAAAACAAGGCTTAAAATTGCACTTACTGAAACTTGGCCATTAACAATGACCTCTTCTGAGAATCGAACTTTGACAGGATTGGACTTCAACCTGGCCTTTTTGGCAGCACTGATAAATGCTGACTTAGGGGACTGGAAAAAGAGGAACGAGAAAAGAAAGAGATCATTTGACTGGTACTTAACTCTCAACCTTTTGTATAGTATAGCTAATAAAAAATACTTGACTCATTCTTGCCATATACCTTAATGCTTTTCAGTGTGCTATTTTGTGCAGAAGGGATGTAAAAACAATCCATGTTGTCTTCTTCAAAATATGAGATATAAATAAATACAAATATAAAACCTGATGTGGCCCATCATATCTGTTATCATATCTGGACGAACAAATATGTTGGAAGTCAGTGTGTATTTTCCACAAATTCAATTTCAAAGATGAAAAAATAATGCCTGTGGAAAACACAGGAGTTTTGTTGAGGGAAGATACCTTTTGGTATATTTTGTTTTGTAGCATCCAGATGGCTAGAAATGTCGCCCTCATTTCCATACATGCAAAGAGAGAAAAAAACTTTTCTAAGAGAGAAAAATGGGAAAAGTAACCCTTTATGGGAGCTTAAGGTACCAACTCAGCTCTTAAAAAGCTTGTCTCTCAAATTGGGATCCTGGCCTCACCCACTTTTGTAATGTGGTTCTGGGCATGTTACGCCAATGAAAATTGGGAATCATGGGTTAATGTAAAACTGTTACATGTCTTTTTGCAATAATAATTCCTGGCTTATAGCTTAAAAAATACATAGATGTGTGTGTGCTCAGAGTCACACAATTTCTTTATAGTTATTCTGCACTGCAATTAAAGTTAACAAAATTATTATGTAGATAATTCTTTAAACATAGAAATATGTTAAAAATATAAAGGACTGCACCTAATGTTTTAGTAGAATAAACAGTTTGTAGTAGTACAGATAGTTCTCAACTTACAACAGTTCATTTAATGACTGTTCAAAGTTACAACAACACCAAAAAAAGTGACTTATGATCATTTTTCACACTTTGCAGCATCGCGTGGTCATGTGTTCAAAATTCGGAAGTATGGCTGCTGACTCTTATTTATGACAGTTGCAGTGTGCTGCAGCCATGCGACCTTACAAGCAAGGTCAATGGGAGAGTCAGATTCACTTAACAACTGTGTTACTAGCTTAGCAACTGCAATGATTCACTTAACAATTGTGGCAAGAAAGGTCATAAAATGGGGCAAGCCTTACTTAAATGTTTCACTTAGCAACAGAAATGTTGCTCAATTATGGTCATAAGTCGAGGACTATCTGTATTTGCTAGCATACTTTTAAAAACATAGTTGACACAGACTCGCAAGGCAGAGTTATCTCCATGGCTGGAGATCTTTGGTGCCTCTATGTAGACACAAGATTTACAATTATTGGTTATATTTAACGCTAACCTCACAAACACGTAATGTTTTCTTTAATGTTCAATTGTTCATATGTTCAAATTAAATAATATCAGTCATAAAAGCCAAATGGATTGGTGAAAACAATTTTCTCAATTACTTTAATTTTAATTAATATGTTTAATTTCTTCATATCTGCAATGTGATATAAGAGTAACCATAAATTTATAAACTAACTGTAATTTCTTAGAATAATATAGTCTGGCTAAAATCCTTTGCTATTAATGAACTAAGCAGAAAGCATTTATTTCTGCAATATATTTATCAAGAAAACTAGAGTATTTATACATTGCATAAGAGATGGTGTATAATAAAACAGCATAATGATTTGTTTTTTATGAGCAAAAATAAAACAAAAGCATGCTAGAAAAAAATACTTCTGCACTGATCTATAATGTCTTTCCATAACATGGAGGCAAACTGTCAATACAATATGAAAAGAAGTACTGTATTTTTCGGGCCATAAGATCAGTGGTGGGATTCAAATTATTTTACTACCGGTTCTGTGGGCATGGCCTGGTGGCTGTGGCAGGGGCAGGATACTGTAATATCTCCAGTGAGAGGCGGGATTTGCTGGTTCTCAAAATTTCCGCTACCAGTTCTTCAGAACTGGTCAGAACCTGCTGAATCCCACCTCTGCATAAGATGCTCCAGACTATAAGACACACCTAGCTTTTGGGGAAGTCAGCTGTTCCAGGCTGCGGGGATCGCTGCTGCCCATTGCCACCTCCATGCGCCTCATTTTTGGTCTCTGTGTGTCCCATTTTCGGCCTGTTCCAGGTGGCAGGGATCACTGCCGTCACCTATCCCTGCCCCCTGGAACAGCCCAAAAACCGGACATGCGGAAGCTGAAATGGGGTGCGCAGAAGTGGCGATAGGTGGCAGAGGCAATGAACAGCACCGGCGCCGATGGGTGGTGGTGATCCCTGCAGCCTGGAACAGCTGATTGGTGGTATTCTGGGATGCAGATCCAACTGACAATCAGCTGCCCATGCTAAATCAGGCTGTACTGAAGCTGACCAGGCTGTCTGCTGTTTGCTGCAAGGAGGCAAATTGCTGGGAGGCAGAGGCTGAAGGGTGGGAGCTGGTGGGTGGGCAGGGTTTTGGCAACATTTGCTCTATAAGACGCACAGACATTTCCACTCATTTTTGGGGGGGCGGGTGTTGCATCTTATAGTCCGAAAAATATGGTATATAGCTGATTAAACCACTGTGAGGAACTTTTACTTTTATGCATAAACTTATAAACTTCATACTACCAAAACATTAATCTACCATAGGTTTGCTTCATCATGACCAATATACATAAAACCAATATACAGAAGAATTGATTTGTCTTCTACTTCCTTTTATCTTCTTTTATTTCTTACCTTGGGGACAAAAACCCTTGAAGTTCCTTCTATGTCATATTTGAAGAAATTTGTGTGTGTGTGTTTTTTAAACCCTTATATAAAAACAAAACAGAATGTTTACCCTCTCCTAGCTGTACCACAAAAACCACAAACTGAAAAGTAGAAGCTCTATAGCAGGGGTGTCAAAGTCACATCATCATAGCGGTGTCATGTGATGTATCGGGACTTTTTCCCCTTTACCCTGATCTATAGATTTTCCAACTTAACTTGGACAAGTAAGCACTTCATCACTGAGATGAGCAAATCAAATGCTGGTAGAGTCTATTATTTGCTCCCATATATGGCAACAGCAATAGCATAGATGACAAGCAACTCTACCACTATTTCATCCATTCACAAAGCTGACAGACTCTGCGATCCATCACATTAATGCTAAACACTGTTTCTTTATTTGACATTGTAGTCATCTCGGTAGGATAGGGATTACATGTGCGTGTGTTTTGTGTATGTGTGTATAAATTTAATAAGGTCTATATTAAACAATATTGCCAATACTACTGTTTCATCCCTTTGAAAGACCTTCATAGTTATCCAGAATTACATTTTACCAGGTCAATAATTCAAATTTATCCCTGAATCTAAATACATAGCACAATAGAGAAATTATCTGATTGGCAATATGCTTAAACTTTTAAAAAAGGCCATTGTAGTTGTAACCTATTTACAAAACAATTGTTTGTAATAATCAAAAAATTCCCACAAAAGTGAAGCTTTAAACTGCTTCAAATGATTAAGCTCCTAACACATTTTCTTATTAGTATAGATGGCATTCAAATTAACCTATGAATGATTTATTGGATACATCAGAACCACAAAAGAGGAATATTTGGCTTTGCTTATAGTGAAAATGAATGAAGCAAAACTAAACTAACAGACAGTAAATGAATTATATTCAATGTACATCTAGTATACTTTAATGCTGTTTACGTATCTAGTTTTAACAAAGCGTAAACTCAAGCTTTATATAATATCCCATGCTATCAAAGCTGTATAGCTTTATTCCTATCCCATATTCCTTATGTATTTGCTTTATAGAACAAATTGGGATTATATTTTAATTAATATTATATCTTAAATAATAAAGATGATGCAGTCTTCAGTTCAGAAAAGAGCAACCCCAAATAATTCTCAGATCTAAAATATTGTTATATTGGTGACAATAGCTTTTCCCTCCCACCATTAACTTTACCAATAGTCTCTTGTATTCTTTTTCTCTCTACTACAATTCTGATACTGTTGGCTGAGCAGGTGGGTTTTGAGGGATGTGGTTGGCACACTTGTGTTGTGGCCCACCAGATTCAGACAATGAGGAGATTGGGGAGGAACTTGGGCCAGTTCTGGAGCCAGTTGGGGAAGGCTCTGATGGATGGTCTGCATCAGACATAGAGATAGAGCCAGGACCATCTGACATTTTCCAGCCACCGGAGAGGCAGCTGCCTTTGGAGGCTGATATGAGTGAGGAGGAAGAACAGCTGGGGTCTGTTTCAGATGCATGTATGCACAGAGCTGTTAGGAGAGGAGGACAAGGAGTCGACTCGGGAAGCAAAGTACACGTGGATGCTGAATGGCCCCTCCCTGGCTGGGGAATAAATAAAAGGAAAGGGGAGTGGTTGCTGTAGGAGACAACAGTTTGTATTTCTGAAAATTTTGCTCATTGTATTTCGTGCCACAGAGACTGCTTGCCAGAACTTAATTTGCAGCCTTTTGGCTGGGAGCTCACAGCTGGGATAAGGACTGTTACTGCAGTTAACTCTTTGAAAGACTATTGCCTGGACTTTTCAGTGGGTGAATGCAATTAATTCACAAAAGGTAAATAAAGAGGGGTTTTTCTTGACAAGGAGTCTGTTTCTTGCTTCTGCTAAGGCTGGGTCAGAACAACTTGTGCATCTACTTTAACTAGCACTCCTAAAGGCTACATGATTGTTGCTCTTTTATGTGTGATTACTGAGCTAATCAACTTGGATATTTGAATGTATATATAAATGCAGATATGCATATAAATATGTATGTATATAAATCTCTCTCTCTATATGTACACTCTATATATACATCCCATTAAACCACTCAGCAAATATTGTGGTACACCAAAGTTACTTGGGAATGTTCTCTCCCTTATCTAAACTGATGTGTGCCCATATAATTCCAATGTATTGGGTGTTATTTTTTGTTAATTGACTGGATACCTTATCTAATACTTTCACTGTGTGATTCAGCATATTTTGAGGTTGGTTTATTTTTTTGTTCCATTCTTAAGAGAAGTGCCATACTTCCCATCTACTTCCCCGCCTGTACAAAAATAAAAATGGCAGGCATAACATGGAGTCCCACTATATTACTAAATATCTCCCAATCCTTACTGGTCCTGGTAGATCATGTGTATTATTCAATTCAGTAATAAATACAAAGATTACAAAGAAATCTGGAACAGTATCACACTTGGCATATTCCACCAAAGGAGTCATTGGATTGGACAAACAGATAGGACTCACTAAACTTTTGTTTTAGCCAGACTATCAGGAACTAAAACAGAGATTATCAGTTTTGTTATTTAATGTTTTAACTCAGTGTGTTTCACAGTTTTTAAAATGATTTTATTGGGAGCTGCCCAGAGTTGTCTGAAAGGATAAAGGCTATGGAAATATTTTAAATAAATAAAATAAACAAATAAACTATCTAAAATTGGTTTAGATCACAAAAGAATTCCAATAAGGTTCAAGAGAAGAACAATGTCAAGGTAAACTCAGGTCTGGATCCAATTAGCAATTATTTCATAACACTTTGAACAAATTCATCTTTTTATGCTAAAAGTCTTACCTATTTATGATTACTTGAAAAGATTTAGGAAAGGACAGATCAGAATGAAATAATTAAATTACTTTTCCTTGCAGGCACTAATCTGATTTTTTTTTAAAAAAAAACCTGCATGTTAATCTATAGATGCTGAAAAATGTGAGGATTTTATTGTTGCTTTTACCATGTTTTGCAAATGGCTTGTACTGAAGAAAAGCTCAGTAGAGTAATTTGGATTTTTAAACACCTTACACCTTACACTACCACACAGAGCTGATTCCACTAATCTATGAAGCACTGAGTAATGAATGATGTTAATATAATAAATACCTATTGGCAACTTATGACAACTCAGTTTGATACTTAGTTTGTAACACAGTGATTTAAAATTAAAATTAAAATAAGATTTAAAATCTTAGCTTTTAAAATCAAATAACAGGTCAATTTGAGTAATGTGTCAGCATTCTAGCTCTCTGAAATAAATACACAATGAATGCCGTGATAAAAAATACTATCCAACCTCAGGGAGCAAGCTTTAGGCCAAGAACAAAATTTACAACATTCCATTCTGACTAAATTTAGCAATATAAACAGGTCATCAAAGTACCCAGTTGTTGTTCGTTAATAATAAGTGGGAAATAAAGCTTCTGATATGAAAATAATACTAATTTAATTCCAATGCCTATTAATTTTAATCTTCAAATGGATCTCTATTTTAATTATTAACTGAATTATTTTGCTACAACAGAAAGTAAAGGAACAAGTCACAAACAAGCCACAAACAGATCTATACTTTCGCAGTAATTCAATGCATATATGATTTATTTCCTCCTGCTGGCCTTAGTTACCTGAGAAAAATAAGTATAGAAGAATGTTTCATTTTAAATAGTGTGATAATGGTAGACTAGAAAGATATGATATTACTCATTCAGGAAAATTTTACATATCAGGTCTGTGGTCCAAGTTTCTTTTGATATTTTCCTTGTAGCATTAAAATTACACTTTTTTCAGAGTGTTCTTAAATTTCCATAAGGAAAAATATATGCTCAGCACTTAAATACAGTAAATCTACAGAGTCCAAAACAAATCCAGCATTTTATTTCATGATCAGAAATGGCACAGCACCTAAGGATGTCACTGTATTACAACTTGGGTAGATCTAATGTTCTGAAAATCGAAAATGATACATATCCAGACATTTAGCTTTCTGCAATTCTCTCACAAGCCTCCATTCCATGGTTTTTATGAAGGGCAGAGATATTTAAACTTATTTTATATAAATAGTGGAATAAAAATCTTCTAAATTGTGGACCACTGGCCTGCAGATAAACAGTCCCCACCACTAATTGCTGTGTCATTTTTGCTTTACAGTATTTCTTATTAAATATTTAGCTAGGATTTTAGTCTCCTGGAGCTAGCTCAGAAGGAATAATACCCTATTGCTCTAAAAAATCCCTTACGGATTAAAATCAACCAAAAAATGTAATAAAGGTGTTTCTCTATCATAATATATATTATTTAAACAATACAGCCAAAAGACAAACAGTGGTAGATGCAAGAATTTTGTACTGACTCATCAGTACCTACATTACAATAACATGGTTTAACCATATTATTGTAATGTAAGTACTGATGAGTCAGTACAAAATGCTTGCATCTACCTCTGTTTGTCTTTTGGCTGTATTGTTTAAATTATTAAAAGGGGCTAATTGTTTTAAGTACATATTATATTAGAATTATAATAATTGAAACAAAAAGGGAAAAGACTGGTTTATAACTTTGACAATTAAAAAACCCCTGAACAATATTCAGCCTCTTCATCTTTAAGAACAAAGTTCATGCATGTTGGAAAATATCCATCTTTTCAATTACTAATGTACTGTTCCACTTTTGTCTAGAATAGTATGTTGTCATTTGATTTATCTTAGAAAATACAACTCATATTTCACTTGTGCTTTTGATTATGCAGATAAGGAAAAGCAAGAATAAGAAGAGAAAAGCAATAAATGTTGCTTGGAAACTTATTTTTTAAAAAATAGTGCTACTTACAGGATAAGGCTGAATAACAGTAAGGAGGATTGATTCTTTGCAGCTCCTGTAAATAAAAGAGATGAGAATGCCTATTTGTATTTCATGTTCTTGAGATAACATCACTTTATTTGTAGATGAGAAAATTGCTATTTCACAATGGCATGTTTATTGCAGCACAAGAGTTTAGAAAACATACATTTCATTGATTTCCCCCTTTAAAACAGGGTGCTAATTTGCTAGTCAGAATAAGAGTAATGCTGATCGAGTAAATATTGAATTCATCCTTAATTGTCTTCAGTGAATTTACTTAAGGCAAATGCATAAAGTAGAGTTGAGACATCCCACATATTACATGAAATACCATTAGCTAGGGGCCACTCATGTGGATCCCAGAGGCTTTATCTTGCAAGGTTACTTTGGATCAGTTTGAGCCTATGGTTCCTAAGGAATTAGACAGTGCTAGCTGTATCACTTGTAAATTAATTCTTTGCCTGTAAGGATCTGACAGACAGCAGAGTACAAATAATTGTTAATGGGGATGAGGCTTCCATTGACTTTAATGAAGTGAGAGTATGCTTAATTATCAAAAAGCCTCCCTCATTCTGGCTATTCTGAATAATTTTCAGAATTCAGATCTGGCTATGAATGGAAACTGTGTTTGTCACTCTAGCAGATGACCTTGGTGAAACCTGGATATGAAGTTTTCATTTCACCAAGGTCATCTACACAAGAGTGACTCTTCCTGGTACTGCTGAATATTTCAGCTGCATTCAGTACCATTATCAGGCAAGGATTAGGAATGGCGGCATTGTGCTTCAGTAGTTCTCCTCATTCTTGAATGGAGTAGTCATTGCTTGCAGTCAGTGGTAATGGTCAGAAGTCAAGGTTTGGATTTGGTCCTGGGTCTCATCTACATAAAACTTGTGGGAAATAATAAATATGGAGATGATATCCAGTTATAAATGACCATTCTGATCAGACAGGAGATGTAGCTTAGGTCCTGTCCTGGTGCTTGGTAGCTATTAGGAGAGTGCAAATTTAGACCAAATTGCACAAGATGAAGTGGCTATGGATTTGGAAGCCAACTATTTTCATAATGGGACTGGCTGCCAATTAGCTTCCAAGTGCAATTCAGGGTGCTTGTTGCATTGAGAGAGAGATATGGATTAGCCCCAGCTCAAGGAAGAATCTGCCCATCTGGGAAATCACAAAGATTTATGTAGAATTCTGCCACTGAAGGAATGTCATTTTCGGGGACCTTGCTTTTGATCAATCAGTGATAGTCCCTTTCCTCTGAAAAAGCTCCCTGGGGTATATGGGTGCCCCCCTGTTATTTTTATGAAAAGCCTTGTAAACCTAGCTGTTCCAGAAAGCCTTTGGTGAGAGGACAGAAGGGAAGGTAATGTGATAATATGGGAGCAGTTATACGCAAACGTCTTCTAACTGTAGTTGACTTTTTTAATCCTACTACTGAAAACACAGTTTTGTAAGCAACTTTAAATCTTCTGAATGGAACAATCTGAGCAAATCAGTAACCAATCTACAGAGAAGAAAAGAATGAATAAAGATAAAATGTCTGTATTTTAGGCTTTATCATGTATAATTTCATACGCTTGCTGCACATTCCATAGCCCATACATTAAAATGGATGAATACATGGTAATACCTTGGTTCAGAATTAAAAATATAATGATCAGTGCTAAAAATAATAGAATATTCTACTGAACTAAGTCCAAATGATCAGAGTTGTAATGTACAGCTTATATATTTGCCACATAACTTTTTCAAAGCCGGTATTTGTTTTATTACACTTACGGGATGTTTTTGTTTTATAAATTGGGGAAAGGTTAGTTGCCACTTGACTGTGATGAACTTTATTTTCGGTTGGCACCTCTAATTTCCAATGCAATTAATTGTCTACTTCTGAGAGTTATTGCCTGGCTGAGTGAAAAGCAATTAATTTGCATACTGTGTTGTTCTGTTGCAAAAACATATCACCATGCCTGCATCAGACAGAATGAATGTGAAATTTGAAACAATTATTAATGAATAATCAGACTGAAGCAAGTGAGAATTAATGATACTTCCACATTTGCAACTTATCAGCTTTAAAACTCCATTTATTTCTGCATTCCTTCCTTCTTTTAAACAAGTCTGCAAAAATTAATAGGATGCAAAGAACAATTGTAATAACAGTTCTACAGAATAGAGCTGCTGGTCTACATTTCCACCCAAGAAATGTACCAGAATAGTATATGTTTCTATTATTACTTTCTAGTTATAGGGAAAAGAAAATCAGGATATATACTTGATATACCACAGATGTAAAAATTCAAATCAGCAAGTTTGTAGCTAATCACCCCTAGGAATTGAATTTCAAATGGTAGCCAAACTTCACAAAGCAAGCCAACATCCATCATCATATACAAGAAGGGGTTGAAGTTTTTTTTTAAAAGTTTCACAGGAAAAATTAGTTACAATGAAAACTTTCTATAGTTTAAAGTAGTGATGAAAAATATTTCTATCACCAATTTATACAGAGACAGGCCCTTAAATAGAGGACATTTTCAGCCTTTGACTGAATCCTAATAAGGATTTGCAGCTTCATACTGCTCCTGAATAGACATGTCTTATCTAACCAGACAATTTTTGTTCTCTTCACATGATTTATGGATGTAGCATTTCTCTGATTCAAGGCTTGAATCACAAAGGATTCAAGGACCAGTGGTCTGGATGCCAGCATATTAATGTTGCTAGGACTAAAAAAAATGTGTCTGATCTTATTTCTTCTTGACCTTCTCAGCTGAGGATTGTTCTTTAGCTAGAGGCATGATATCATTATAGTGAAAGTTTACTGAAAGTATATCAAAACAATCAAAAATTACCTTAGCAATGTAAGCAACAAAACATGGATTGGTGGATTTCCGATCTGAGCTTCTTCGGCGACGGACTGAAATCTGCAGTCATGGGCAGTTTTGATCCATGCTCGCCGCTGGAGCGCCCCGAGCCGGCTGGTTTTGGGGCTAAGCCACCCCGTAGAGGTGGTGAAGAGGGGGGAGATCACCAGCAGGGTCGAGGAGAGCTGCATCTCTCCTCCCCAGCTGGCCATTATTCCCTTTCCCGAAGGCGGTTGCAGCGGTGGTCAGAAATGGCCACCTCAAAGAAGAACTCGACCAGAAAAGAATGTGCAGGAGGAAGATAAGAAGAGAAAGTTTTGGCTGACTGGGTCGAACAGAAAAAGCAACAACATAAGGCACCCTGGAATTTGAACTATAAAGAATAACATTGCTCCCAAAGAAGATTTTGAAGCGGCGAATGAGAGAGGGAAGGGAAAGGATTTGGTGTTTTTTTTCTTTCCTTCCCATATTAAGAGATTTAAGTAAGAAACTGACAAAAATCCACTTTGACATTAACAGGCATTTAAGCTGAAAATATAATGTCAAAGGAATAATAAAGACTTCTTGATTTTCAAAAACCTTTACCAGAAGGAGAGAAAAGGAAAAAACAAAAGGGTGGGATCTGGAAAAATGGAGGAGACCACCTGGAAGTAAAAGGAATTAACAGTGAAACTTTAACAAGATTCCTAAAAGATACATTCCAATTGAAACTTTGTAACAAAATAGAACCTCAGAAAGAGAAAGTGGAAAAAAGAAGCAAGAAGAAACAGCTTTGGATTATTTGGATTACTTGGTGATTTTTGGTTATTGGATCTAAAGGACTAAAATCAATCGGGTGGTTGTTTAAAAGTTTTTTAAATGGTATCACTCTTGGAAGAACTGAAAATGGAACTTAAAAACAGAAAGAAGATGCATGCACAAGAAGGAAGAGGATTTTTTGGCTCTGTATTTCAATTTTCAGAAATGGAGATCCTGAGCTATGAGAAACAACAAGAAATGCCTGTAGAACAAGAAGGGCGGGACAAAGAAGAAGCCATCTTCAATGACCAAGTGATTCTGTGTGGGGAAAGAAAAGGAAAGGGGAGAAAGAGAGTGGAAAATTTAAGATCTGAAAAAACAACAACAACAAAAAAAGAATAGCTTGAAAAGTAATTACAACATTAGGAAGAAACAGAAGAGAGGATTACAGAAGAGAGAATTAGAATTAGAGAGACAAGGGGACAAAAAGGGGAGGGAGAAGAAGAGGGGGGAAAGGGAAAGAAAAACAAGTTATAAAGGACAGAAACAGGACATAGAGAAACAGGGAAAATGTACAAGGATTAAAGGTATAAGCCTATTTAGAAGACACAGAGATAATGGGTGAAAATGTAATTGAAAGAGGGATTCTGCAAGGGTACATAAGATAGTATTGTTATATTAGAAATAGAAATGAACTTAGAAAATATGAAACAAGTGTGATTAAAATGATAGATAAAATATTCATTGTAAGGTAATGGAATGTTTGTTAATAAATAAGTGAAATAAAGAGAATGAGAGAATGAAATTAGGAAAGGATGGGAACATTTTAATTATTATAAAAATTTAAGTGAAGAGGAATTTGAAAGAAATACGGAAAAATTACGCAAATATTATAAGTGTTCCTAAGGAAGTAAGATACCCCATTGAAAAGAAATGTTAAAGATGTTAAAGATTATAACTAACATTAATGATAGAGCTGAATTGGAATAGAATAAGTATTTTATTCATTATTGTTATATATATACTTTCTCTTTAAGAACCTAGTGTGTATTTTAAGAATGTACCAAGCAGAATTCGACTGGAAGTTATGTGTTATATTGAATGTTATAATTGTAAAGGCATAAATTGAAGTTTAAATAAGAGTTGAATGGACAAAAATTAAAAGATACAAAGGTGTTATACTCCAATCAATAACTACATGGGAAAATATTGTTTAATGAGAAAAAATATGAAATTGAAACAGGACAGACAAAAGTATAAATATAATGATTAGAAAGATATTGAAACTTAGAAAAAGATATATATAATTGAATTTAGAAAGGAATGAGATAATTAAAAGCAAGGTTGAGAAAACTAAGGGAAGGGAAAAATTATTGAGAAAATGTTAAAATAGTAATAAGATATGGAATAGAACACAAAGATAAATATG